GGGATGAGCGATGTAGAGAGATCTGTGGTAGGGGGCTTTTATGCACTGCATCTGTCATAACTGTGGGTGGCCAGAGACAGTGTTGGGTGACATAAGTTGCCTCTAGGTCCCTGAGAACAGGCTGGTAGAAATACTTGATTGCTAATACTAAATAGCCATAGCCAAGTTATGTCTTGGCTTTTGCCAAAAAAATAACTTTACCAGTGTCAGATGGCAATTTCTAATGAGATTTGGTTATGGTCTGCCTTAGGGTTTCTATGACTGGGATGAAACACCATGACCAGAAGCAAGTTGAGGAGGAAAGGCTTTATTTGGCTTATCCTTCCACAGCACTGTTCATCACTGAAGGAAATCAAACAGGAAAGGAAACGAGAGGCAGGAGCTGATGCAGAGGACGTGGAGGAATACTGCTTACTGGCTTTCTCAGCCTGCTTTTCTTATAGAACCCAGGACCACCAGCCCAGGGACTGTATCACCTACAATGGATTGGGCCCTTCCCCTTTGATCACTAGTTAAGAAAATGCCTTACAGCTGGATTTTATGTATCAATTGAGGTTTCTGTCTTTCAGTAAACTCTAGCTTGGGTCAAGTTGTCATAAAACTAGCCAGCATATGGTCCTTATTGTTTAGACACCTCGTTTAGCTGCATAGGAAGGAAAATAAAGCAATGATTGACAGTAGGTTTATGTTTTTCATATAGTGAGAGTTCTGAAGATAGGACGGATGTTACTGTGACTCCCTAATGCTGTTGATGGTACCCTTCAATTTCTGCACAGCTTTTCTTGAAATTTGCCTTCTTTTACCTGTTGATCACAGAAGGGTTCCTGCCTGCTCCTACCCCTTACTCTTAAAACTCAAAAATGATGTTATGGGCAAACCAAGACATCAAAAACTGTGTTATGGGCAAACCCAAGAGAAGACAAGAGTTGGTTGAGCCAGTTTTTCTTTTTTGATTTGGGTTTTAGTTTTGAGGTAGGATCTGGGAGTCTGTGTTGCTCTTGATCGCTACCTCCTTGTTCAGGTGATCTTCCCATCTGAGTAGCTGCTACTACCTGCAGCATATCCAGTGTATGCCAGGTCACTGCGCTAAATGCAGTCCTCATTATAAACTTTTTCCTACAACCCAGCCCAGTGCTTCTTATTCCCATTGGTTGCCTGTGTCACAGGCCTGTCTTTTTAAATTTTGAGACAGGGTCGCACTCCCTTTGTAGATGAGGCTGGCCTCATGGAGATCCACTTACCTCTGCTACCTTAGTGCTGAGATTAAAAGCATGTACCACCGTGCCCAGCTCACAAGCCTGTCCTGTTCTTAACTGTGAAACAGGCCTTTTAGTCAGGCTCCTGTAAGTCAGAAAATGAAATTAGAAACCTTCAGTAAGGAAGAAGGGATAGTGAGATAGGCTGCTGGTGTGTGTCTCTGGAACTGCTCTTTAAAACATTGGAATTTCTCGTCTTACATTTGCCAGAATTAAAAACATGCAACACAGTGGCAGTGTTGATGATCTGAGAAGAGGGATTCGCTAAGAGAGTTCTTTGTTTTGTTAGCTAACAAAAGAAAGTATGTTATGGCTATATTTATTAGGGCTGAATATCTGGAATGAAGTATACATATGCATTGTTTTGTACATTTTATATCTTTCCCTCCAGATATACTCACACCTACCATCTTTTATTTATTTAATAATACATTTTTAAATTAATTCTTTCGAACTTCGTATAATTTATCTTTTTGGTTTTTTGGGACAGGGTTTCTCTATGTAGCCATGACTGTCCTGGACTCACTTTGTAGACTAAGTTGGCTTTGAACTCACATAGATACTCCTGCTTCTGTCTCCCAGAGTGCTGGAATTACAGGCATGTGTCATGGTGCCTGACTCATACAATGTATCTTGATCGTATTCAAACAGTCCTGCCCTTCTCTCACAACTCTTCCTAGAGCCATCCTCTTTCTGTCTCCCTATCCCATTGTGTTCTTTTTAATTTAAACACAGTTTTAGATTTGTTATTTTTTTTATTTTATGTGTATGGGTGTTTTGCCTGCATATATATCTGCACTGTCTGTGTGCAGTGCCTGCAGAAGTAAGAAGAGGGAGTCATATCCCTTAAAACTGAAGTTACACAGATAGTTATTTAGTTACCACTGGTGACTGGGTGCTGGGAATCAAATCTGGATACCCTGAAAGAACAGCCAGTGTTCTTAAATGCCAAGCCATCTCTCTAGCTCTTAACTTTAGTATTTTTAGAAGAGACTTTTTAGCAGGGGTAGTAGAGGCAGAAACAGGTAAATCAAACTCAGATCCACCTGCCTCTCCCTCCCAGAGTTCTGGGGTTACAGCTGTGTGCCACCATACCTGGCTTTCAAGAAATTTCTTTAACCAGCAGAACATGCTACACCTATTTGTTGATATAAGATAAATATTTAGAATGGGGTTGGAAATTACACTTTTTATTTCAGCATCAGTAGTTGTTATAGTGTATACAATATAAAATTGTCTCTCTAGGCTGAAAAATAAGAACTAGCAACTGATAGACAAGATTCACTGTAGAAAGGTTGGAGAGATGGCCCAGAGGTTAAGAACACTGTCTGCTCTTCCAGAGGTCCTGAGTGCAATTCCCAGTAACCACATGGTGCCTCATAGCTGTCTATACAGGGATCTGATGCCTTCTGACATGCAGGTGTACATTCAGATAGAGCACTCATACATAAATAAATCTTAAAAGAAAAAAAAAAGATTCACTGTAGAAGATAGGATTATACAACACAACAGTTGGAGATGGTAGTGAAAGTGTCATGGAGGGAGCCCTATCCTTACTGTTACATCACTACCACTCCGTAAGAGAAATCACCAATACATTTTATTTTACTTATTCATTTATTTATTGAGTCTGGCCTGGAACTCACAGTGAGCCACCTACCTCTGGCTCCTGAGTGTTGAAGTTAAAGGCGCTAGCTGCTAGCACACACAGCTACCAGTAGGTTTTTAAAAATCGCATTTATAGCTGTGTCAGAGTTTATGAGATTTCTCTGAACAAACAATTAGCATACTTTTCTTGAAGAAAAATGATTTAAAATATGAACTATAACACAAATGGGACAATTAAGTAGGAGCAAAGCAACTTTTATTTCTATATATTTAGACTTTATTAAGCTTTAGTAACTAAAATTTGACAGTCTTGATGATAAATGATTCTTTGAAATAGAATTAGACTATGTTAGAGCAAGTGTAACTGGTAAATGTAAAAAATAATAAATGGCATTAAGTTGAATGATGATTTACAAAGTATAAACTTAAATTTCTCTTGCATATTTCAGGTTGACAATAGTGTTATATCTTTCAGGAGTATTACAATTGAATTTAAACTAGAAATGTGTGCATTATGCTCCATTATTAAAAACTTCTGAGGGGAAGAAGTTATACAATATCAATCAAACCAACCTAAAGAGAGACAAACACTAGGGCAAAAATAATGAAATAGAAAATAAGACAAAAGCAGGGCATTGATGACACACACCTTTAATCTCAGCACTTGGGAGGCAGAAGCAGGCTGATCTCTTGAGTTCAAGGCCAGCCTGATCCAAAGAGTTCCAGGACAGCCAGGGCTGCACAGAGAAACCATGTCTCAAAAAGCAAGCAAATGAGAAAGTAAAGAAAAGAAGTCATAAAATAGTGTTGATGAGATCAACAGTGATTTTGTTTGGAAATACCAAACAATGGAAAAAAAATTAAAAATCATTTAAAACTTTTGATACTCAATTTGTATGTTGTTTAATGGTACAGTTTTAATTTATAGACATCAAAATTATAGACATGCAAAAGTACTATAAATTACTTATTTATTTATTTCTCATAAATGTTTTCTCTCCTGGGGTGGGGTGGGGGTCTTGCTAGGGATTAATTATTGAATTTAGGGTTCCTAGAAATTAGAAGTTTTAACAAAATATATGTGAGCTAGAAAGTGACCTGTCCAGAGGTTCATGGAGTCTTCAGGAAGGTCATGCATCAAGAATGAATATTTATGTTTAATGTATGATATTTAATATTAAAATATTTTTTAGAGTGATGTGAGCAAAATCTTTCATTATAGCATTTTTTTTCTGGATTGTATGCTCTCTGTGTGTGTGTGTGTGTGTGTGAGAGAGAGAGAGAGAGAGAGAGAGAGAGAGAGAGAGAAGGAGGAGGGAGGAGGGGGTTCTATTTCTGTTTGATGAATTCTTGGAATAATGTACTTAGTGGATAACACCAGGCTGTTCTGGACACATCAGTGGCTGAGTGCAAATACAGACATTGGTTTGGGATAAGAGAACCTTAAGGGTCCTAAAGTGAGCAACACATTGTTGCTAAATGTTTAGAGCCCTAGAAACAAATTTTAGGAATATTTTTATTTTCAAAATGACAATTATGTGGCAAGAAAGTTTTTTTTTTTTTCCCCCAAAGGTAGAAATTTTAAGATGGAAACTAAAAAAATTTAGGTAGATACAGTAAGTTTTAATCAGTATTTGAATGTGATATGTCTAATTCTGTTGCATTAATTCTGCTATATGAAGTGTTTCATGCTTGTTTGTAGGCACTTATTTATTTATTTTTGAGACAGGGTTTCTCTGTAGCCTTGGCTGTTTTGTACTCACTTTGTAGAACAGGCTGGCTTTGACAGACATCTGTCTACCTCCGCCTCCCTGAGTGTTGTTAGGATAACAGGCATGTGCCGTAGGCTGGGCTGGTTATTTAATCAATAAGTAGTAAGTAGATAAGATTCAGTGTCTGAAGAATCTTGACTTGGTCTTAAGGCTGCCACTTACTACATACTTGACCTTCGGCAAATTATTTAATTCATTAAAGCATGGGTCGTTTCTGTTAGTGTTGCGAGATATGTGATGACATAAACATTGCTTTATAGAGTACTTAACATAAGTGCTTAATGATATTCTATATTGGTGGGGAGAATATGTTGCTATATAAAAATTTAAGAGGGATATTAAAATATATTTTTGTTATTTTAAGGAAATTCGAAATGAGTCCCATGACTATCCTCATAGAGTGGCCAAGTTTCCTGAAAACAGAAATCGAAACAGATACAGAGATGTAAGCCCGTGTAAGTACTGTGGGTTTATGTGCATGTGTGTGCTTTTCAGTTTGTTTCAGGAGACATGATGCAATGGCAGTCTTTGGGTCAAGATTGACAAGATACAATTTTAAAATTTTGATGTAGTCTTCCATTTTGTTGGAGACAGGGTATCACTGTGTAGTCCAGGCTGTTCTGGAAGTTAGTGTGGTACAGGCTGACCTCAGGTTTGCATCAGTCCTCTTGCCTCAGCCTCCAGAACAGTGGGATTTTAAATGTCAGCCACCATACCAGGTTTGATATGTACATCTTATTATGTGTATGCACACACGTGCATGGAAGGTTGAGGTTGATGTCAGGTGTCTTCCTTGATCATGCCACCTTATAGATCAATTTTTCCTGAACCCAAACCAGCTAGTCTGGCCAACCAACTTGCTCTGCTGTAATTGTACTTGTACTGGGATTACACTCAGGCAGCCATACCTACCTGCCTTTTACGTCAGTTCTAGGGTTCCAGACTCTGTCCCTTATATTTACAGAGCAAGAACTGTACTTAATCATCACCTCATCCCTCTTTGGTTTGAGGAACGTTTTTTAGCTCTTTAAGATCTGGTAGAATTCACCGGTGACTCTGTCTCTTGCTCTCAAATGGAGGATGCTCATTATTCTCACTTTCAGTAACATCTCAGCATTTCCTGCTCTCATCCAGGGTTCCTCGGCCTGCCAGGGAAATGGCCTCTACCAAGGCTCTCTTTCCCTCTGCAGCTCTTTTCTCCAGGCTCCATAGCCACTTACTCTGTTTCCTATCATTCCCTCTCCTCAACACAATCTTCATTCATCCTGGGTGTCCTAATGTCTCTGGGAGAACACCATGAAATGTCAGCCTTAGAGTTTCTAGACCTCTTCATCACTATTTTGATTCTCAGTATTTGCCCAGGAAAAAGGGAGGGACTGTTTATTTTGTGGCAGGGCTTCTGTGTCTGTTCTTCTGTCCTCTGACTTGTAAAGTTCCTGTCTCAGCCTTCTAAGTGCTGGAGCTACAGGCTGAGCCACCACACCTAGCTTTCACCCTTGCAGTCTTAACCTCTGCTGCCTTCAGGGCTATTTTCTGGTCAGCACTGTTTTTATTGTTTATTGTTTTGTCTTTTGTTTTTAACTTTCACTTGGAAAGCACTAGGTTCCTTAGTTCTTTGACTTTTAGTTTACTAAAGTGTTGCCACATTCTTCCTTAATCAATCTATTACTCAATAACTGTTTAGCTATTATATTTTAAAAATCTCTTTTACCTTAATTCTCCAATTTGTGAAGCTCCCATTTTGGAACACTTTTATTCTTTATCCCATAGAGAGTTTAGAAAAAGTTTAAGAGTCAAGAAATAACACTTAAGCTCTAATGTACCATCTGGGAAGTGCCTCGGCTCATACACATCCCTGAAGTCCCAGAAGTTGAGCTATTGCTTCTCCACTCCTTGTCTAGTTCTTTCTTGCTCACTTCCTTCCTCTTCCTCATGGACCTTGCTATTTTCAGCCTCTTTCTCTCTGCTTTTCTTCCCTATTACATAAATATGCTGTACAATGCCTTTCCATTCTTTTCCACCCGTACTTTATTATTTATGCACGTACACAACAGTTTTAAAAAGAGTATATTCTGGGATTGGAGAGATGGCTTAGATATTAAGAGTACTGGCTACTCTTTTAGAGGATATGGGTTTAATTCTTAGGACCCACATGGTGGCTCACAGCATCTGTAACAGTTCCAGTGAAACTGATGCCCTCTCCAGCCTCCTCAGGCACTAGACACACAAGTGGTACATAAATATACACATGGGCAAACACCCATATACATAAAATTAAAAAATAGTTTTAAAAAAGAAGCCCACTGGTGGTGGCGTATAACTTTAATCCCAGTACTCAGGAGACAGAGGCAGACAGATCTCTGAGTTCAAGGCCAGCCTGGTCTACTGAGTGAGTTCCGTGACAGCCAGGGTTACACAGAGTAACCTTGTCTCAAAGAAACAAATAATAAAAAGTTTTAAAAGGATAGAGTCTACTATCCTGATCACCTCTGCTTTCTTCACCCACCCCCATGGGTATACGTCACCCTCCTCAGTGAAACATTTAAAGACTGTTGTCTTTCTAGTTTTCAAATGCAAACAAAGACTTTCCCTTGTTTTCTTCTCTTACCTTCTGTGTCTTGTGAGATTGTTGACTCTGTCTTCCTTTTCTGACCACTCACCCATTTTAAGAGCCTCTCACCCTCAGTTTATCTTTTTTTTTTTTCAAGGACCTTTTTCTCTTCCTCACTCTTCTCTCCTCGATCTACGAATGGTCTTGTTATCTAGGGGTCAAATGCTGTGTTTATTTTCATGACTTCACATTTCATCTGTAGTCTCAATCTTAGCTCTAAACAGATACTTGTAAGTAGTCTTTATTGTCACATAGCAACGTTGGGTTCATTATATCTAGACACTGAGTTAGACTTTGCTAACAGAACCCAGTGGTGCAGTTATTCCCCGTATTGCTTTATTCTTTATATTTGTAACTGGTACCTCCATTTGCATGTTGACTAAGACTGGATAAGGATTCATCTCCCACATCTAATTAGTAACTAAATAGTTGCAATTTTTATTTCCATTATGTACTTAAAGTGTTTTCTTATGTGTATATGCTAGCTTGGATCAGCCGTTTTCTGCTGTGTGTAAGAGAGAGATTTATTACAGTAACTTCTAAAATATTGGGGCTATGTAGATGGCTCAGGAGTTAAGAGCCAAATATTACTCTTGCAGAGGACCAAGCTTCAATTCTCAGCATCCACATGGTGGCTCAAGTCACATCTGTAACTTCAGGGTATCCAGCACCTGCATCCAGCAGATGTGTGCTGCACATGTATTCAGCAGGCGCTCTCTCTCTCCCTCTCTCTCATACACACACACACACACACACACACACACACACACACACACACACACTTGAGATGAGCATGATGGTGCATGCCTTTAACCTCTCGGGGAGGCAGAGGCATGCAGATCGCTGTTTCAGGCCAGCCTGGTCCATAAAGTGAGTACAGGACAGCCAAGGCTACACAGAGAAACCCTGTTTAAAAGAAAAACTGTAAGAAAACAAAACTTTAAATAGCCTCTGTATCTCCGTTCTGTTACTGCTTTCCTTCACTCTCATACTGTCCAAATTATTCTCCTTTTTTTTTTTTTTTGCCTTTTAGGCAAAAATTTAAGTTTGTCATCATTATCTTTGCAGATTTTTCTAATATACCTTTATAGATAACTAGATTCATTTTTCTAGATTTTTTCATTTCAATAAAACTGAATTACTTGGCATTCTTCCCTTACGATTAATTTCTAACACATCATGTTTTCAAATCTGGCACTCCCTTACTGAAGTATCATTCCTTTTCCCTCTCTTTTAATGCCTTTCAGTGACGGTCCTCTCCCTGCAATACCAACTCAACAGCCACTGGCTGGTCTTTTCATCATGTAGAGGGAATTGTGGAGGTAGTTTGGGTGTGTGTGTATTTTAATTGTTTGTTTGAGGTTTTTGCCATTGTTGTTGTTTTTTGATTCAGGGTCTGTTTCTTATGTAGCCCTGATTGACCTGGAACTTACTTTGTAGACCAGGATGGACTCTGAGATCTACCTGTATCTGTCTTCCTGAGTGCTGAGATTAACAGCATTCCCTTCCATGCCCAGCTGGTGTTTTCATATGTGGCAGAAATTTAACAGTTGCCAGTTTGGTTTAGGAGACATTTGTTAAAAAGTGGTTGTATGTGTGCCCACAGAACACAATGATGAGCATATATACCCTGCTCTCTGATACTGTGCAGTACAGCTAGGTAGGGAATTGTGTTGAAGAGAGCATGAGATTATACCAGTGTGGCAGAGCCAAGAAAGGGTGTTCAGATCTGCCTTAGAAGTAAGGTATGGCTCTTGAAAGAATAAATAAATGGTAGCCAGCTCAGTAAAGAAAGAAGGATGGAAATACAAATTTCAAAGAAAGTTTAAGATACCAGGTCTGTTTCTTCTAGATTTGGATTCAACGGGCCTGAAAGTCTATACTTTAAAATAGCCTTCTAATGTGATTTGTATGGTGGCCTTCTGTGGCCATTGGTACTCAAACTGATGTACAGATTAGGAAGTTGAAATATGGTAAACAAATAAAAAAGGAATATTTTAAAATAGAATTTAAAGTTTACTTTGTTTTAATCCCAGAGGCCTCTGTTCTCTCATGTAACTGAAACAGTCTAGAAGAGATGGGCAATGTCTTTTTGCTGTTGGAGGTCATTACTGATTTCACAGTCTCTGTTATTTGGTATTCAGGTAGATACCCTGGTAGTTTACACTTAATAAAAGAAAGAATACCAGATGTTCAGTGAACTGTCATCTCTTTTCATATGTGATTAGTTGTGTGCATGTGTGTGGGGCTAAAAATACAACATTGTAGGCCTGGTAGAACTTAGCTCTTATCCTAGTACTTGGGAGATCAGGGGATTAGGAATTTAAGAGTAGCTTGGGCTATGCTGGAGCCTGTTTCAAAGGAACAGAAAATACAAAATACATAATGTATTTTGTATAACATTGTATAACATTGTATATTTTGTATAACAAAAAACAAAAATACATAATGTAAGTTTGTTCTGGCAGCAAATTTTAGATGTGCATTCAAATACTAGCTTTATGGATACTGATACGTGACAGATCTCTTCAGCTTGCCTATGTTGCATAACTGAGGCTACCTACTGACTGTCCCCATTTTCTTCTTTTGGCACCTGAGACCCACTTTTGTGCTTGGCTACTTTGGGAGCATGTGACATTTGTTATTTTGTGATGGGCTTATTTCACTTGGCATAATACCTCAAGATTCATAGATGTGAAATAATGATATTTTAAAGGGGATGGAAGGGAACTGGGTATGGTGGTACATGCCTGTACTTATACATTTAGGAGGCAGAGGCAGTGGGGTCACTGTGAGTTTGAGGTTAACCTGGCCTACATAGTGTGTTCTAGACCAGCCAGGACC